GGTGATTCGTGGCATCTTCTCCATTGCTTGCCTGGTAATGTTCTCGCACCTTCTCACTGCTCTCCAGACTGTAGTTTTCGACACAAAGAGGTTTAATTCCGATCGGATCTAGTTCAAGGAGGACGTACTGTTGGAAGCAGTCCCCAGAATCTTCCGCTCGTCACGGGCAGTAATCTTTCATGGGTGTCCACAGCCGGTGTCATATCTAGGGACATCAGGGCTCTCCAGAAATCTTTGAATGGACCAAGGGGATCTCCCTATTTGCCTGGAGATGGCTCGAGTACTGAGCCCACCTTCATGATGAGCCTTCTCATCAGAGGAAAGCAGATGACAACGAGCCATGTTGACAGTCAGGTTTGGAAATGCATTTGCTACACATGCTCACCTTTATAGGTATCTTTAAACACGAAATTTCCTCTCTTCCATGAATAATTGTTCACTTTCTCAGGGTGACCTTATAATTATGAAACGGTGCAAAAACCGATAAACTGTTCTAAAAAAGCTTAGAAAAATGCAGCTGCTACCAAAAAACGGAAACCTAGGTTGTTGGTGGTAAGGAATCCGATCATGATGCCAGAAAAAATCCTTAAATATTGCTTTTTCTGGAAGTGCAAAATTTGAGGGTGGCCTTATAATTATGAAACGCACTGTATACATATACACACATATATACACACACTTCCTGCACTCAGAATGAAGGGAATTAGAGTAACTTATAATATCGCGTAATTCCAATAAAAGTTGGTACGAGTTTCTGAGGAAGGAAGCTCTTATCTATCGGGCGGACGGCTCTGATCATTGTTGGTGAACTAATTGTCGATGGAAAGACAAGAATTTGCCACCGCTTCTTTGAGTATTCCTATCTAAGGTTCCAGCCAGTTTTCCAGAAAGCTACGGTTATTCTCGAAACGACTGTGTTGTGATAGCAGTAGCCAACCGTGTTCATACGGTGTGCCATAGCAGCGCTAAATTCGACCGAACTGAGAACCTTTGTCCTCGGCGAATTCTCAAGAGACCCTATTTTGGATGTTTCTTTTTCGATGATTCATCGTTTTTTTTGTGAAGGTTCTGATTCGCAGAGTCGCTTTGTTCAGCTGAGTCTGGCAGGAGCTCAGCTGTCGACCAATAAGGCGAGGGCACCCCTTGCCAGGGAGGGGTTTCAACTTCCCATGGAACTTTGAATAGAGACCTAGCTATATCGATAGGGCTTGGAAAGTTATCAAGAAATATGGAAATACAAAGTGCAAAATGAATCTACCAATAAAGTCATGAGCCTTCAAATTTGCATGCTTAAAGCATGGAGAGATGATGCCAGTTGATAAGCGCAGTCGCTGGTAGTGGTCACAAGGATCACCGTGGCATAGTGGCAGTGCTCTCCCTCTCCAAGTCAACGATGAGGGGGTGCTCCCTTTTGTCGTTTGCGGTTTTTCAAAACGCGCTTTCATCCGAATAAAAGCTCTTTGACCGTTTTTTATTACTAATTTAAGTCAGCGCCTTGTTTCGGCTATCATTTGCGATCACCTCACTTATTCAAAACTTATTGAGGTAGGGGGAAGCCCGAACCACTTGAAACAGATATGCATAAAAACTGAATATTGAAGGAGCAATCCAAGAAATGAGTGAAGCAGATAAGTTGTCCACAAAATGTGAACCTCATATGTACATGCTGTCTTTCCTCAACCGTAAATAAAACACACAATCAATTCGAGACCAAAAAATGCCGGTTGTCTCAACCCATTTTTTTGGGTTGTTTCATCGATGTTAAGTTTTCTCGCGTGTCCAAGACTACTTCACTTGGGGTGTGGGTATGTGTGTTTCGGTGTTAAAAAATGAGAGAGCGTTACGGAAATGACGGGGAGAAATTTTGAATAAATGCGGTGATGGTTGATGGATAGGTGATCGCAAATGATAGCCGAATTAAAGTGCTGACTTGAATTAATGAAAAAAAACGCTTTGAGAACTTTTATACTGATGAAAGCACGTTTTGCAAAAGCGAACGGGCAGGGCAACTGCGCTTGTTAACTGGTATTATCTCTCCATGCTTTGAGCATACAAACTTTCAACGCTCACAATTTTTTAGTAGACTCATTTGCAGTTTGTATTTCCATATTTGTTAATAACTTTCCAAGCTCTATCGATATACCTAAGGTTCCCCTCAAAGTTCCAAGGAAATTTGAAACCCTTTCCTGGTTAGGCGCGTGATAGGGAATGAATATTGAATTTGTGCTTTCGCTACAACATAGGAAGAACCTGTTGTCTCGAAGCTCAAAGTAGAGGTTTGCTGTTCGGCTTTAGAAGCCTTTTGTGCACCTCTGTAGCTGATTTGTTCGATTTGATAAAAAAAAGCAATTTCGTGATTTTTTAAAGGAAAAGGTCTCTCCTCAGCTTTATTTCTCCTCCAACTATCATGCGAGACGCTCTATTCCTTAAGTTAGCAGCTGTCTCTGCAAANGCCTTTTGTGCACCTCTGTAGCTGATTTGTTCGATTTGATAAAAAAAAAAGCAATTTCGTGATTTTTTAAAGGAAAAGGTCTCTCCTCAGCTTTATTTCTCCTCCAACTATCATGCGAGACGCTCTATTCCTTAAGTTAGCAGCTGTCTCTGCAAAGCAACAGTTAACCCTCCAAGCCTCAATTCTAAATAGCATTTCGAAGTTTGAGGTCAGAACGAAGGGTCAACATTGGTGCAAAGGTCAACATTTAGTTCAGTTCTGGTTATATCTAGCGACCATTGCTGCTAATAACGTGCCCCCAAGAACTTTGATAGACCGAGGACTGAGAAATTGAACTTTTTCAATTTTTCAATCCTCGGTCTCAGTAAGTATTGAATTTGTGCTTTCGCCACACCATTTTATAGGGCTCGGCGAGCACAGTTGAGCCATGTAACTTTATATGTTTAAAAAGTGAAAATTAGCCTAGTTTTGAAAAGAAGACAAAAAACACGCAAATCCGCCTTATTTGTGACTTTTTGAATAATTAGGGTGGGTATTGTACACTTTCCTGCTGAACTTTTACTCGCAGAGATATACGGCCGTCAGTTTTCCATATACGTCGCTTATATTTGCGAGTTTGAAATGAGCATGTTTCTGTCTGATTTCGAGTGACTAATTCTACGTTACGTACATTTCAGATGGCATGTGAGTCGTTACGGGTGGAACAAGTTGATGCGAAAATTTTGGATGGCGAATACCAACAGTTGCTAGAACAACAGCTTGGACAACTCATCAGGGAGCTACCGATCACAATCGGCCATACATGTGAACGGATAAGGCCTGAGATTCAATTGCTGATTGACGCATTAATATGGACAAACAGATTTTACAGAGGTGAGTTCTTGAAAGGTTTGTAGCATACACACATACATACATATATCACCGCATACATAGTGAGCTTCAGACTGCATCGTTAGTTGAAATCCTCAGAACTCATAGAAAAGTTTTAGTTTGTTGTTTTCTATGTCTTTATAGTTAAGGGCATCTGTGTCTCGTTCGCAGAGTTGTACTTCAGACACCATTTAATGGGTTTTGAACAATTTCATGCTCTTCTCCTATTTTAGTAGCAACTTCTGGACTAGGTTGTTACCACAGTATATTAAAATTAGAAGGAAACAGGAAGGGCTCAAGATGTCTTTTTTCAAAGAGGAATCAGAGTTCAGCAGAAAGTTAAACGACAAGGTTCTGTGACGTGCGTTTTCCAAATTGGCAGAGCTATCAAGGGAAGGATACTTGGTGGCTCCTGAACATGAGATATATAACACCGTAGGTGTTTTCGAACGCTTATCTCGATTTGTGCTCCACTTGGGAACAAAGTTACGGGACTAACTTCACCCTGTGTTATACCATTGTACCAAACACATAAGCGAAGCAAACAGAAACGTAGCTGTGCAAAGGTAGCGCAGCTGGTAGGGTAGTGGAACGGTAGGCATGGCATGAGTGTTCGAGTCCCTGGTGATTGCGCTTGTTTGGCTTTTTCATGAAATGCGCCCTAAACGCTTGCAAAACGTTATTAGTCTCAATATGGACCAACTACGGAGCTCCCTCACAGTTAGAGAGGGTAGAAATCACAAGGAAAGTTTTTTGTCCTTGACTGAATAAGGGACTAGCTAATTCAAGCAAAGGAAGAATTCTGAACCTTTGCTCGAATTGGGCTTTAGAAGCTCTGAGGTGCAGAATGGTTCATTGTTTCAAAACACTCTTCAACGTGTCTCCACCAAAATACTTCGTTTCTCGTATTTCTTGGAGGTCTTTCCTCTTTGCAGCGTCAAAAGAGCCATCTAGGAGAGGATGGAAGGTATTGAAATATTGTTGGCTAATCTTCCGCTGTTATGAAAATAGGCTCGTTATTAATTGCAAAGAAGATGATTCCTTGAAAGGCAATCCCAAGGACCCCCTTCGGCCGCCTGGATCACATCTCATCGCGAAAGGAACCTCGTACGTTGGCGTGGATATAGAGGTTCCAAAATGAAATGTAGATTCCAACTTTGTGATCTGACCCACGATCTTCAGTTTCATTGCGCTAGTGAAGGAGTCCATAGCTTTCTATAGTTCTAGTACCAACAGAAGCCGCACTTCTTCGTGCATGAAAATAAGTTTTTTCCCATCACGACATTTTTTCACTTTTTCCAGTGCAATATACGGGCATCAGAGACAGAGACAGAGAAAGACCATGAGATTTCAAATTAGATTATTTTCGTTGCATTATGATGTTTTATCTTGATGTAACCACCAGGTGCAGAACAAGCGTATCAATCTATCTACTTATCGAGATAAGCGGATTAGTCGGAGGGATAAGTTATCATAAAATTAGTATATAGGAATCACATTGCGGGAAGGTCATTCCCACTTGATGACGCTTAAAATCAACAATGAAGTTCTCATAGAAGCCCATAAAAGCGAGTTATAATTAGGTTCAGGGTTTAGAGTCCAGCGATGGTATCGTGTCCCACCATACTACCCTTGGTTAAAGTTGGGTTTCCGAAAGGGTTTCTTGGCAATTAGTGGATTATCATATTTACTTGTGAATCGACCAACTATGGTTTCACAGTTTTCTATTAAGTGTGGTCGAGGCCTTCGACAGCACTTGTGCGCGATGTTCATGAGAAACGAATTGGTACCAGATGCTCTCTTGACGCTAAATGGGGCGAATCCCACCGAGTGACGAGTGCTCTGACTACGTGTATCCAGGTCGAGAAATTAGTGTGATAAACAACCCAGCTCCGTGACTGAGGAGGAGGAAAGGCGCAGCGTAGGGAGCATGTAAGAATATTGAGGAAGAAGAGAAGATCACTCGTTCCCTCGCTTATTTTTTCGACACTGCTGTTCTTCCTGCTTTGTCCTTCCTACGCCTCGGCAAAATTAGACTTCACGAAAACACGATAAACATGCTGTTAACGTCACGCAACGCGCTTTAGAAAGCACGATGCTCGTAATTTCCCTCAAACGTCAAACGATGGTTAGTCTTCTTCACAGAAGCTCTGAACTGAAAGGAATCCTATGCCTCTTATTCCTCGAGCAAGGACGATCCACTAGACTACTCCGGCTCGCGACAGGTCGCATGGATACGTTACTGGCGCCGTTGTAGGAAATCGTTGATCGACGGGACGACAAGCGATACAAGTCATACTGGTGATTCTGAGTGAATCCTGGCAGAGTAGGAATGAAAACTTAAAAGAAAAGTTGGGCATAAGATTACTTCAACCAGTTATCTCGTGAAGTTCTTTATTGCTGGAAAAGTTGTCGTGCCAAGAAAATGGTCACGACCTTTGGGGAACGTCAGCGCAGGTGCTCTACTTCGACCCTCATATTCTGCCAGAAGTCAGTAAGTAAGTGTGAAGACCGAAAGAAGGTGACATAAGGTGAAAGTGAACTCTACAACCGAAGCTTCGTGTCTTCCTAGTAAACAGTTTTTCAGAAAGTATGCTAAGGAAGTATGTCAAGGTAGGTTTGATAAGTTATAAAGAGCTAGAAAGGATACGATCGATGGGTATGGTGGTCAATCCGACCATGATGAAGTGTTGCACGGATAATGGTTCACTGCATAAACAGTTTCAGCGCGCGATTGCTAGTTTGGTGGGATGATTACAAGAACGTTTTGAAACTATGGGGCAAGCAACAGAACCTTCATGCTACCTGTCTTCTGGGAATATAGCAATAAGGTAAAAGGGCTACACCGTGGTACCAAACATTCATTTGTGTCTTCTTGTGGCGGTGGTCTACATTTTTGCTTTCAGGTGCTTCTCCAGGTCAGATCGAAGTTGACATAGCCTATAAGGAGTACACCCGCAAAAAAATTCTTCTACATTTTGTATTTTCCAAGCTTCTACCATATATCTCTGAGCGAGCATCATCTTTTTTGAAACATTCAACAGCCATCAAACTCGTTTCAAAGGCAGCTGCCATATTGGAGGTAGGGCTTTTCACGACAAAGGTTTCATGAATAAACTATTGGGTTGTAACATGAGTTCGTAGAGTTTTGCGTCAGAGTTATTTCAAAACGATTTGTTTTGTTTTTTAGCGAAATGTATACATTCATTCGAAGTAGCTGCTTCTCCATCACAAAGCTGTTTTATTTGTTTTTTTTAGACAATTTAATTGTTCGCCTTTTTTCTGGCTCAGAAATGGAATATCCAGGAGGATATAGTCAGCTTTTTCGACATCTCTTTTTCTTTGCTTATCATGGAGGTCAAAATCAGCCGTTGCCGCTCGGGACATATGCAGTGTGTACGGAGAAGGTGTCCTAGGTGTGTCTACTGCACAAAAATGGTTCGCAAAGTTTGAAAGTGGCGACTTTGACCCTGAAGACACGCCTCAAAGCGGACGACATGCAGAATTCAACGGAGCATCTTAAAGGCACTGTTGACAAAAAAGTAAGGATACCCTTTTTTTGACGGTAATAGGTAGAACTACTTCAGAATAAAGCGATAACAACGAAAAAGCGCAAAAAAANCACGCCTCAAAGCGGACGACATGCAGAATTCAACGAAGAGCATCTTAAGGCACTACTGAAGGAAGATGATCGCCAAACAACTCTTGAATTGGCTGAAAAATTGAACGTCAGTGCAATGACAATTCTCGCCACCTTCAATCAATTGGTTTTACNGTTTTCGCACTAGGCGAGAAATGGCCATTCCGTGCGAATGTTCACATACAAGACAGGGTTGTTACAAAATTAAGAGCAAAGCGAGTAGAAGGTCACTACAGCAACACCAAACAGTACTCAATTCATGTTCAAAGTTGCGTGCTAAGGAAAAAACTGAACCATAAAATAAATTAATACTACGGATGTGACCACTACCTTCTACGACAGGAATAGCCAGGAGTACGAAGATTAAAATGTAATAGGATATGAAATATTATACTAATCAACCGAAAAAGTACTAACGAGTTGATGACAGAAATAATTTCGGTTTCCTTCTTAAATCACACCAGGATCGTGATGCAATAGGCTCACGATAACTGGTGTAAGTCTAGAAAGAAAAACCTGTATATTTGAAAACTAAACTGCTCTACAGCAACGACGTCAGCAATTTAAATAAATTGGTAGTTGGTTGCAGCAGTAGAATAAAATCGGAGCAATACTTGACGAATTCGGCAGCAGAAGTCAGAGGAATAAGCGCTCAGTCGAATAATGTAGTGAATAGCAGAGTTGCGGTCTACATGACCATCGGCGCCCCAGCTCTATTCTAGGGGTAGATTCATCCCCCTCCCAGGGTGGGGAGATAATGGGGTCGGGCTTCTCTGAGCTCTCGCTAAGGTAAGGTCGCAGAGGCAAAACATCATATGATTATCGAGGGCTGTCGATTCTTCATCTGTTTATAGGAAAAAACATCGCTCCATTGTCACTATCTTGACCCAAAACCTACCATTTGAACGTTCGCGCCCTTCGCAAACATTTCCTTCCCCTCCCCTACCCCGGGAGTTGTGCATACGGGCCATGGAGTGTTCGGACGAGTGCACGAAGGCGACGCAATGTGTTGTCTGCAATAGCAGACATCACATTGCGTCTCTGGCAATTTGCTTATCGACTTTTCACCAGCTTCGCTCCAGTGCGAACGTGTTGAAGGACAGTCAACACGTAGTCAGCCTAACGAGGGGCGGAGGCATCGCGTCCCCCACTGTTCCTGGCCTTATTGTGCCCTATCCAGCCGTTTTCCGACCTAATTCCTGCACAAATGTTATCAGAGGGGGCTCAGAATTCTAACCGTGTGCAAATCTTCGAAACCATTTAGTCGTTAACAGTGCCTTTAAGGCACTACTGAAGGAAGATGATCGCCAAACAACTCTTGAATTGGCTGAAAAATTGAACGTCAGTGCAATGACAATTCTCGCCACCTTCAATCAATTGGTTTTACTCGAAACTCGGAGCATGGATGCCTCACGAGCTCAACGGAGAAAACAAAGAAAAACGCCTTCAAATTGCTGCTCAACATCTCGCCCGCTTCCGAGCAACACATGGACACAAACAGCGCTTTTTGTACCGAATTATCACGGGAGATGAGAAATGGTGTCTGCACGTCAATGTGAAGTGAAGAAAAGAGTGGGTGACTCCTGGAGAGACGCCGGAGCCGAGAGTCAAGCAAGATCTCCATCCAATAAAAACGTTATGATTTGCATTTGGTGGGACTGGAAGGCACGGTGCACTAAGAAATGCGAAACGCCGCTGTCAACAAGGAAGCCTGCATTGCCCAGCTGGACCGTGTAAATGAGCCTATTCGGCTGAAAAGACCAGATAGACAAGGTCAAGTCATCTCGCTAACGACAACGCCAGGTCCCATATTGCCAAGTCGTTGAAACTGCACTCCAGGAGCTTGGATGGGAGGTTCTTCAGCATCCACCGCACTCTTCAGATCTTGCACCTACCGACTAACTCCTTTTCCGCCCTCTGTCAAACCAAATGAGTTGTGTTACCTTCGATAGCGAAGAGGATCTAGAAACTGGCTCAACAACTTCTTCGACATCAGACCGGACGATTTTTGGCGAAACGGCATCAACAAATTGGTCGAGAGATGGGAGGTCGTAACGGAGGATACATCCTTGATTAATTTATTATTAAATTGTTGTTTTTTGTTCAATTAAATCTTCGTGAAAAACTCTACGAACTTATGTAACAACCCAATAATTACATAAGATGTCTGTGTTAAATGGTGAGCACTACTGTCAATGAAGCTTGAAGCTTTGCTCAGATAGCAATTTGAAAGGTATACTTTAGATGATTAACATCATTCACTACTTGAATTTTCTTTGCGTTGGTGGTCACAGTACATTCATCGAATCGCTGCTGAAGCTCAGAAACTGGAACATGCATCTTCCTACTATTGGTTAGTGAAATTACGAAAACTTGATGAAAAGAGATGAGCAAAGGCGTTAAGATGGAAACGCTTCATTGCAATTCATAAAATTTTAATTCATAAAATTTTAGAAAAGAGACTATTCAGCTATAATAATTATATTTATGGTCACTATGGATAATAATAGTAATAATGACGATAATGATAATAATAATAATAATAGCAATAATAATAAATTTATAATAATAATAACAACTATTATTATTATTATTATTGTTAAAGGCAAAGTGAGATGTTGGCAAATACTAAGCTGTCATGTGTATGCTCACGATGAAATTCGAACCCAATAAAGGTGAAGACCTCCATCCCTCTAGAGTTGATGTAGCCAGATTGTGAGGGGAGACGGAGTCATTCGAGCTCGATATCATTTGGTTCCATGTGCAGGTCACTGGATAATACGCACTCGAAAAACAGTTGGATTTTGAATGAAAACCGAGAAAAGGTGCATGAGAAGAACAACTACTTCTGATATTTGATAATCCCTGAAACAACCAATTTCAAACAAACCGTTGATCAATTTTTGGCCTTCGAAAGATATTGTCGTGCTGACCGATCTCTAATGACATTGTAAGAATGATGTCTCACGTTGTTCCCTGATACGATTGATGAACCCGTTGAATCATTACTAATGAAATAGAATATGTTCATTCGTACATTTTGGAGCTCGGTTTTGCGTAGGCTTCATTGAAAGGAAAGTTTTCCATAGTTATTGGATTGCTCGAAAAGTAATTACGATTTTTGGAAACGATTTTTGCGAACGCCCAGAAGCAAACATTTTTTATCTGATGTATATAATGGGTGTATATTTCACATTTTTAAGAAAAAACTGAACCAATTTCAATCCTATCTGTGTTTTGAGTATTAGCTCAAACATAGAGTGTCAGTTGAAGCATTTTTGACCAACTTTTTTTTACCTCTGAAGTGACTTGTAATTTCCATGTTTATGTAAAACATTAGCTGGCAACTACTCTTCACAGAGCACGTAAGAGAACTGGTTCATAACTTCCCATTCTTGCAATTTTCACTTCAAGTCAGGCTGACCAGTAGGCATCGATGATATATTTATGGCCTTGACCATGGCCGACCTTCATGTATCCCACGTAGGAAATTACTCAGAAGACTACGCATGCATGGGGATAGTTAACGAACATTCCGAAAACTTTGGATTGGACGAAAAGTTAGATGTTCAGATGCCACATGAGTTGAGCTGAATATACTTGACGCTGTGAGTTAGTGTCTACGAAGTGCGCTTCGAACACAAAGAAGAACATCAATCCGTGAAGCGGATAGTGGCTGTTGACAAAATTTGGAATGTCCACGATAACGTTGCTCACACAAATAATTATGACAAATCCCGAATGAGCCTGATCAAAAGAGGTCCAAACCTGATCTTCTTCAAAAGAAGGCCACGCTCCTAGTGTGTTGGGATTACAGAGGCGAGTTTGGTGTGCTGCCAAAAAACTAGAATGTTAACCTGAACCCTACCCTCCTAAGTATTCGATAGAGCAATTGGAAAAGTCCTCCAAAATGAGTGAGTCTCAGGTCCATGCCTGTTTGAAATCTTTTCCTGACTCTTCCATACAGCCCTGATCTCTCACTATCCAAATACCACTTATTTCGGTCGTCCCTCCATTGAAGGGAGAACCTTCAACGAAGATGAGGAAATCAAGTTCTAGTGGTCCAGTTTTCTGACCAGATAACATTAAGTTTTAGGAGGAAGAGCCATAAAATTAATAAGAGGTCGGCAAATTATAATCGTAACTGGGTGTATAACATTGGCTAAGATTCGTCCAGTAGCAGAAGATTTTTTCTGTACCAAACGACCTAATACCTTTGAGGGCAAAGTGTAAAAATGTTCTCTATGGCACAAAAACTTTCTATGCCACTAATCCTCCTTGTTCCATCCATTCGAAGTGGATTCTTTTGACTTAAGTGGGCTTCTAAGATTTCCCTGACGACAAACATACGTATGTCTGTGAATGCAAATGGCACTGTAGCGTAAATTTTCATTGAATTTCATAATTGTATCACTAACACATTTGTTGGCTACAATTTGATTAAATAGATTTATAAAATTACGAAGCATCTCCTAATTAAAACGTCGATCTATAACCTATCATGAAATGCATATGTGGTGGAATAACATGTGGATCATAAACTATTACAGGCACAATCAACTACGATTCACAGAATAGAGAACTAATGTGGCACACGTTCCGTGACGCACTGCTTTTGTTGTGGCCTGCTATAGCGATCATCTCTACAAAGTGGCAAACACGAACTGGTAATGGAGTGGTGCAAACGATGGAGGTGGCGTTGAAATGCGGAAGATGCGGTCAAGCCGCTGTGGCGCCAATGCGCTTTGGCGGCTGTGGCCACGTTGCCTGCTACTGGTGCGTCATGTCACGGATACCAACGGAATCTGTCAGATGTGCTACTTGTGGGGAAGAGACGTTGCAGGTGACCCCAGTGCGAGGACACGCTTTCCTATAGAAAAGACAGGAAATGTACAAGTCGAGCGTCGAAAAATCATTTTGCATCCTGAAAATATTTGATAACTTATTAGCTCTTCTACCAAAACAGTGATATCTCATTATAAAAAAAAAACTAGTTCGTAAAAATTCAACGTAAGTGCGGCCGTCCTTCAGACACTGTTTATTTCAATAATGAATAGACTTCTTTTTGAAAATGTGCTGATTATACTTCGATGTGATGTGATCTTCTACGTAAAACTATAGTACCGTACAGTAGCTGTTCCATTGTTGACTTTGAGTTTCGTTTTGCAGTCCCCTTTTATGAAGGCCATGCCAAAGGCCTGTGGGGAAATTACAAGAGCTTACCCAAGTGCTTACTCAGCTTGAGTGTTTGAGTGGATATGACCAGATTATAACTCTTTCGCTGTGACGAAAGAGTACAGTCAAAGTTCCTGTTTACACGCCACGTTCTCTTTCAGTCGGACTGGATTTTTCTGCAGTATGCTGATTTTGATCATGTTGCTATAGTTTTGATACTACCTTGTACACAATCCTATTGCGCTCGCTACTTCTTTCGAGTTTCAGTTATTAAAACAGAAATGAGTAAAAGAGGGTAACCGAACTTTTCCCCTATCGCGGCATTCTCCCTTGCGGCATGCGACAAATGTCACTGCAATTACCGTACTCACCCCGCCTCCCGCCAATCGATAGGACGCGATATTTTTCCTTGACTGGCTTGCTTTTTCATTGCATTTTATCGTTTTGTCTTCTGTTTCTTTTTAGTTTTCAAGTTTATTAGACTTGATTAATTAAAATGACTCCTCCTATATAAACGACGATCAAGACCGCATTGGAATTGAAAAGAGCGGCCAGCCAATTCAAATAATTAAAGGACTCCCTACCTCACAAATTGCGCGCTCCAATCTTCCATCGCAATCCTGCGATAGGCGGCGGGTGCGGCGTGTACGACGCCGTGTTAGGGGAGAACTTCCCGGACCCAGTAAAAGATGAGGAAGTGTCGTGAACTGCCGCGAC